TCTTTCCCTTTTTTTGTTTCGCATACTCTTAACTCATCCTGAGCCCTCAGTTTAGATGTCACTTCCTCAGGGAAGTCTCTCCAATCTTCTCAAAACCAGATTAGGGTTCCTGCCATAACTCATCTCTATGACAGCACTTAGGACATGTATCCTTGTCTGTGGCATACCCTCAAGGGAGGGGTAGTTTCTCCAGCACCGACCAAAGGGCCAGGAACGTAAGAGATGCTCAAAATTATGTTAAAGAATGAAAAAGCAGGAAGCAGAAAAAAATAAGAGTCTGTGGCAGTTAGTCATAAAGTAGTTTTAGCCATTAAATTCAGGGATAGGCTCATGGCAATGGAAAAAAAAAGGATGAGTGGGGCACAATTAAAAAATAAAAAAAAAGCTAAATGAAAAGTTCACGAATCTGAATTCTGAGTTGATGCAATTTGGTATATATAATTAGAAGAGTCATCTAGTTCAGTAGTTTCCTAATCCTGGCTGACCATCCGAATCATCCAGAAATCAGGAGTAACTTTTGTTTTTGATGTGTTTTCATTTCCCCTGGCCATTGTCATAACCACTGGCTGATATTTAGGAACTACTTACCTAGATGTACCATAAGACCACTTCCAGCACTAATGCTCTAACTTAATCAAGATCACCATAAACAATTGCTAGAACTTCATAAGTAGCTGAATCTGAGAAGGGAGGGATTACACCAGATTTTTAAGCTAATTGTCCTAGAATCACAATTTACATATAAACAGGCAGCCAATAAAAACTTGATTAAATGAAACGGGAGCAGGAAGAGGGAGCACATTTTGTAAGAAAGGGTAGATATGATGTTGGATATGAGTTTATCAACTGACACCCTACAATTATTTGTCCTTAAAGGCTGTGTCAACAGAGTGCTCTTTTTTCCTGCTTTAGACTATTTGTCCATGGTTTTGCTATTTTGGCTGTTGTAAGGATTACCTCTTCTTTGGGTTATAGCACCCAATTTCTCTTTAAAGATTTACTCTCCCTTATTTTGTATACTCCTGCAGGGACTATTAAGTCAGGTATTGCCCTCTCTTAGCTAAGATTTAATGACTCTCTCCTAGACTTTGAAAATTTGAGTGTCCTAAGAGCAGAAAAATCAGTTAGTGATCATCATTCTGACAATGGCACTAAATTCCTGTTTCCTAGATCCCTAGGCTACACTGGTTTCTGTCTCTTTAATTTAGCCTTGTTCTCAGGCCTCTTCATTATTTCTATGAACTATCCAATATCCTTCTAATAAATCCCCATGTTACTTAGTAAGCCATTTCAATTTCTGGTACTTACAAACAAACAAAATAACAGAAGCTACTAGATAGAAAAGAAAGGAGGGAGAGAG